CGTTTGCAGAGAACTGGGAGTTTCTCACACACAATGAGTTCACTCTGCTTGCAGAGGTTGTTTAACAGACATCATACAGTTTACCTCCTGGGTAACCACTACTGGGAGAACAGGTTTACAGCTGCTAGGTTATAAGTGACATACTGCGTTGTAGGGGGCACTGCCAGTAACCAGACCATGAATCAAAAAGAAAGCGACGCTCTGTCACAGACCAGTTCAGGCTTCATTATGTCTCACTAACCTGTAGAAAAGGTAACAAAGATGATGGATGTGGGTGCAAAAGCAGACATCAGATGGAGCATAAAACAAAGAGACTGTTATTTAAATCATGAGAGGAGGATCTACAAAGAAATTCTATACTGGAATACCTTTCATCTCTCGGAAAGAGAAGAAAGCAAAGTGCTAGAAAAATAAATGAGGAGTATGTTAAGTAGGTAGGAAAAGAGAAAGGGCTGAGAGAGAATGAGTGGAAGCTGACGAATGTGCAAGAGAAGCAAGAGCAGGAGCAAGTGAGTTTTGCAAGTGTGTGCGAGAAGACTTCTCTAACTGTGTGACGGCCTGAGTGCACTTCGCTAAATAGATTCTCTCACAGAATCTATTCCCACGGAGTGGGAAACCTCCTGGCAGTTGACACGTCTCATCTTTCTGTTTGGATCCTAGAGAGAGCTTGTGGGTAGGCAGTGGCAGACGGGAGAGAGAGCGACGGTGGCTCCACTCAGCCCCTGGGAACATTCTAGGTCACTGCCCTCCAAGAGCAGTCCGTGAAGCCCTGCCTCAGAGGCACCAGAAAGCCTCAAAAACACACACTCTGAGGTCCACTCAGCCCCGCAGGGGCTGACGCTCGGGGCAGAGCACAGGTGTCTGCCCTTTAGCCAGCTCCCGGGTGACCTGACCCTGCAACTGGGAAAAGCCCTCTGGGCTGGCCTCAGAAACGGCATTTCTTTGTTTTATAAAGAAGCTATGGAAGCAGTGAGCAGATCCTCAAGCTTCGTCTTAGGGTTACCTAATGATTTGGGGACCACATTCTGGCAAGAAAGGGAATGTTTCAGTCACCAAAGCTTAGTCACAAGCTGCTACGCTCCTACAGCTCAGGGCCTGGATGAGGCGAAAGCTCAGGCCAATGTCCCATCCTAAGTGAAGCCCCATGGTCAGCTCTTCATCCGGGCCAGTCCTCTCTTAGTGGCCCTGACTTATAGGAAAGACAAGCTTTAAATTACCAGCAAGCCCCTCTTTTATATCTGACTTATAGGAAAGACAAGCTTTAAATTACCAGCAAGCCCCTCTTTTATATTTTTAAATCCCTGTTCCTTAGCTCCTAAGACTCCACTGACTCCCCTCCCACCCTCCTCATGTCCTTTACGGTGTCCCATGCTGCCCAGTCCAGGCCCAGAGCCCTCCAGCGCCTCTACCCAGCCCCACCGCGGGTGTCCGGAGCTTGTTCCCCGCTGCTTCTTCTGTCTGCTGCCCCTCCCCCAGTTTCTGTCTCCAGCATGCGATGTCCCCTGGGCTCAGACCCCAAACCTCCTGCACTGACATCCCTACCCAGACCTTCCGGGGGCTCCTCTCTTATTGAATCCAGGACTGTACCGCATCCCCTTCCCTTAAAGTCACCTTTCTCCTCAAGTCCCTTCTATTCCCTGGCTAGTGGCACTTAGCTACTCACACCCACATCCTGTTCAGCTCTCCCCTCTGGTCACAGCACCCACATGGCCACGGGGCAGGCGGTGAGCCTCCCGCACCCACCACCCTTCTCTGCCTACCATCGTAGTCAGCTGCACGTCCACTTTTCTCTTCATAGAGAACAAGGCCTCTCTTCTCCATGCAGCAAGAGCATGCTTTCTAAATATGACTTCTGGCTCTGAAAGCCTTCTGTCTCTTCATCACCTACAATTAAGTTTAACTGTTGGCAAGGGCCATGAAATCCCTCTCGGACATGGCTCTCATCGTTCACCTGAAACCAGCACTCCACCCTCTCTCACACAAGGCGCAAGCACAGGCCTCTGCACCTGGGCTCACCACAGCAGAGGTCCCAACTGTCATGTTAGTTATTTCTGTGCACAAACTACATCCTGACCTATCGGCTGAGGTACATTTTTGCCTATTTGTTTGATTTAGGGATTTTCTAATACTCCTTGGCCTCCATGGGCTCCCGCCCAGTCAGGGGTTTTCGCCGTCCCAAGGAAGTCATGACACAGTGGGGCAGGATGCAGAGAACAGGAGTTAGACCACTCCCAGGGTAAAGGCAGAGTGGGGCATCGGCGATAGTCTAGAAGACACAGCGCCGTCTGTTGCACAACCTTGTCCCAAACAAAGACCCTAAGACACTGAACACGGGAGTGTCAGAGACAGCAAAAGTGAGTTCGGCCCTTAAGGAGCCGCCCTGACATCCGGACCGTGTCCCCACCCACAGCTCCAGCAGCCGCCAAGAGGAAAGCAGCACCAGAGAGCGGCGTGCAGGGGAGCAAGGGGCCCACAGCCCTTTCCAGAGGGACGAGAGCATCCAGCAGGTGGATCCGCCAGGTGGGAGCGCGATGTCCTGCATGGCCCCGAGAAGCACCCACGACCTGGTCTTATCTCCAGGTGAGGAAATGAAAGAAGGTTCTGGTGGCTCAGCAAATGGAGTCTCAAATCAAACATCACACTCAGTAACAGGAAAGCAAAAAAAGTTTCTTGCCCTCCTGCTTTTGCCAACTGAGATCTTTATCTGTCACATTCCTGAGATGAGGTGGAGTAAGGGAGGGGCAGAGCGGTGGGATGGCAGAATCCTTCTCAAAAAATAATTAAACTTTAAAATTTAATTCCAATTCTACAATCGGAATAAACCTTGAATCATAATGGGGTGCCCCTAAAACTAACAGGATAGAATGTGTTCTATAAGTCAATTTTACCTCAACAAAAATAACATTAAAATTGTATATAGTTATTATATAAAAATTGCATGTATTTATATATTTCCATCAAAAGAAGTTCAGGAACAGAGCTAGCAGATTGTGTGTGTGTGTGTATGTGTGTGTGTGTGTGTGTGTGTGTGTGTGTGTGTGTGTAGGATGTCAGAATCCTCAATTCAGTAAGCCACTGCCCACTTCCTGAAGGAAAAGAAGCTGGACTTGTCTTAGCGATTACAAGTTTGAAAAGAAACCCCCCTCTCTTTAAGGACTCACAAACCAACAGACAACAGAGCCAGATGCCGGGGGCCTTGAGGACCATGGGCCTGCAGGCTGCCGTTCTTATCATAAACAGCTTTATTGAGACATAATTTACACACCATAAAAGTCTAAGCACAAGACTGGACGGTTTTTAGTGAAGTCGTACAGTGGCACACCACCGCCACCATGACTTTGGAACTCTTCTGTATCCTGCTGTGGTTAAAAATCAAAAAGCCGCGGCACCTCCAGCACTCTGGCGCCCGAGGCCCCTCTCCGGCTCCAGTGCAGTCGGCGGCCCTGTTCTCCCTCAAGTCTCTGCCTCTCAGGGGCAGAGTTCACCCGCCCGGGCACCTCCCCACGTGGCCTCCTGGGAGCGCCAGCTGAAGGGCCTTTATGTGGGGTCTCTGAGGCCCAAGACAAGCAACCTGCTGTACCCACTTTCCCCACGGCTTTGACGGAGAATAGCCCCAACACTTCGCTGGCTTCCGAACAGGACTTGGATTCAGTCTTCACCACCGGCGGGTTGGGGGAGGCCCCAAGGTGGGGGGAGGTGGAGCCCCGGGAGGAATGACCATGGAAGGAGAGCGGCCTTTCCAGGGACCCTTTGGGAGATACTTTGCTTACATTTATTTTGACACCGTAAAGATTTCTTGCCTGTTAAAAGACAAGGTCACGCCTCCGCGGCCGTGTGGACTGCAGCGAGCGCTGGGGGAGCAGACTCCAGCCGTGCAGCGCTGGGCACTCACTGGTCAGGCCCGGGACCTGCCCCGCACGCAGTCCCAGCCCTGAGCGGCTGCAGCGCCGCCTGCAGGGTGCACCTTACCCAAGGCAGAGCTGGGTGTGATCACAAACACTGGGAGAGTTCACATCGTGCACCAGATTTATTTGCGGAAGGGGCCAAAGAAAATGTCAAAGGTGAAAAGCCAAAAGAACCACACCCATGATGTCATCAGCCAGCAACAATGGAAAGAAAAACCCTCCAACGCTCCTGCCTCTTACACTGACGATCTCTTCCGCCAGCCCATGCCGCTAATGGGAGGAAGGTGCTAACCGCAGGGGAAAGACGCACTTTGTGGGAATCACATGGAACGCAGTGGTGTCTGTGCAGGGGAGGGGGTGCGGGGCAGAGCTTGCCTCCACCCTGTAGTAGAGGCAACTGAATGCCCCAATTTTGCCAGCTGCATTCCAGAGCTCTTTCCCTCCCATGCCCAGACAGAGCAAAGGCCTTTGTCATGACTTCACACTCAGCCAAAAGTAAACACGCTCTCCACTTTTTCCATGGACAAATTCTAACCCCAAATTGCCAACACCGGCCTCCCAACAATCCAAATGGAAGGCCGCCTTTCCCAAGAAAACAAAAGTTTTCTAGCTAAATAATACATCCTGGCCGCAAAGCCAAACATTCCTACAAGCTTCCTAGAAATTATCTGCCACGCAGCGATGCGACTGATCACCTGAGCAAACCCTGCCAATAATGCACCAAAGAAACTTAAATAAAATAAATACAGCAAGTGATCCAAGAATAAAAGCACGCTCCTGCAGCCGCCCGCACCTACGCAAAGGACGTAAACCTAGCTGCAGAGACCGGGCCTGCAGCTCACATCACCCGCACGCAGGCAGGCATGCAGGCACCTGCAGGCTGCTCTCTAACTGGAATATTCTTTCTGCAAACAGGTCCTGATAAGACAGGGCTGATCTGCATAAGGAGCAAAACAGCACTCCAGCTCTGAGCCCAGATGTACCTTCCACATCGAACACCCATCTTGCTTCTCCCCCACATTCCAACTTGAATCTGTGGCATCCAGGCACAGACCTCCAGCAAGTAAGAAAAGCAGAACCGGACGGTGGACTTACCAGGTTGGAGTTGGTGGCGTTGGAGTCATCTTCTGGAAAGGGAATATAGATCGCTAAGGCCACACAATTGGCAAAAATAGTCAGTAAAATAATTATTTCAAATGGTCTGAGGAAGGGAGTTAAGGAAATTAATGCTGCAGAAAGCACAAGTGAAACAAACATACATATATATTTTTTCTAATGAATCAAAGATTCATAAGAATTTTGTTTAAACAATACATTCCAAGTCCCTTGTATTCTGAAAAGAAACATATGCCTTTTTAAGTGCTTCTAGTGGGTCCTCGCCAAAATTTTTCCTAATATGTCAAAAGCAGTGGAGGCCAGTCGCGTGCCAGAGTAAACACAGATTTCTAAAAACTTTTTCCCCTTCTATTTATTTAGGTTGCATTGGACTTCATTTGCCCTCATGGGTGCTCAGGGTTGCTTTTAAGGAGCAGAGCCTGCTCCAAGGAGGACAGCTGACCCCAGCACCCCGTTTTTGTGGCTTACACTCCAGGGGACTCAAACAAGCTTGAAAGGGAAAGCACAGCACTGAAGGCAGAGACATGGTGTTACGATTTTTTGCTGAAATTTGGGAATCGAATTTTAATTTTTTTTTTTTTTTTGAAGCTTAGGACATTTTGTTTTCTTCTCCCTTTTTTTTTTTATAAGTGTTGAGAGGATGTGAAGGTGTCTGCCAGGGAGCCCCAAGAGCATAGCAAATGGGGTACCATGCCGTTAGGGAGCACTTTCCTTTAAAGCACAGCTCCATGGAGAATACCTAGAGGAGCTTCATGTGGGGAGGCCAGCCTTTGGAGGTCAAGGCTTACTCCTAGTTCTTCTTGAATCTTCCATTGGACATGCCAGGATTTAGAAGGACAAACCAAGGCTCACTCACCAAAGCAAGAAGCTCAGTGCCCAATTTCTTTATCAAAATATCAGAGCAGGACCCATTACCAAGAGAACAATGACCCCATATGATACCATGTATCCCATACCCACAGTTGAGGCCAGAAGGGAAAACTTGATAGGAAATGCCCAATTCATGCTCTTTCTGCCCCATCTTTCTACCCCCACCTCACCCCCCATTGCTCAGCTCCAGCCTAATCCATGTTGCCTAACAAGAGGAGACCAGTAAGGATGGACATTCCTGGAAGAAGGAAACTACTTCATCTCCAGGGAAGCTATACTCATGAGGTGAATGAATCTTGAAGCAAGAAGAGACCGTGGAGACCATGTACTCCAAACCTCTAAGGCCCAGAGAGCTTGAAAAACTTTCCCAAAACCCCACAACATGGACTGACCAGTCAGGAGGAGAACCCAGATGCCCTGCTGCCCAGTCCAGTGCTCACTCCCCACAGGGATCTTGGTCTGGGTTAACAGGGAGACCCTGGGCCTGCACCTCCAAGTTCTGGGTGTGACAGTAGCTTAGTGACTGTCTAGTCCTGCCTTCCCAGCAGGCCTGGCTGCTGGTCCCCCAGTGCCATGACGTTTTCCTGTGAGTGCTTTGGTGTCAAGAGGTGGCACATCGTGAAGCTGTCCCGCCTCCCAACTCCACAGATGCAGAGAGTCAAACCACCTCTCCCGGCTGCCAAGTTGGCAAGCAGCAGAGCTCAGACCAGGACTAGACCTACTGACTCACCCTCTCCAGTACGCCAAGCTACCCCTGGAGTTGGCCAAGGCACCGGCGATGCTGGTGACGCTGACGCGGATAGTCACAAGGACAGTAGTTAACATTTATTGAGCTCACGGTGCCAAGCACTGACCTGACTACTCTGCCCAAACACCCTGGGAGGAAGGTACAATCATGGTCCCTGGTTCTCCATGAAGGAAAGAGGCCCAGACAGATCGAACGCTGACTTGCCCAAGATGACAGCTCATGGTAGGATGAGGGTGGCTCCCTACTGTGCTCCCAAGTGGCCTCGGGGCCTCTCTAGCAAGTCAGAGCTTGTGGCCTACTGCCGCATCGCTCTTCCTGCTTAGCCCTTCCCCACCCAACTAAAAAAGTGACATTCAGCCCAGAGATTGGTCAGTTTTGGTCCCCTCATCTGGTGCTCCCCCACCCCAGAGGAAGGGTCCCCTGAGCCAGACCTCAAATGCCAGCTCCAAGTAAGTGGGTGACAGCCAAGCTTAGGGTACTGCTCATGGCATCCTTCTACCTCCTCCTCCCTCACTCAGGCTGTTTTTCCATCAAGTGATGCTAAAAGTACCAGTTTCTGTTGAGAAAATGTGGGAAATATGTGTTTTTAAAAAAAGAAAGAAAACCCATCTTCTGCAAAGCTGAGGTCCTGGGTAAGCCCTGAAGCATCCTGAGCCCCCGTGCTGACTGACAGGCGGTGTTCTAAACTGCCTTCTCTTAAGGGGGTGTCGGATTCCGCTCTTCCAGGAAGTGACTGGCTCCCCCCTCACCCATCCAGCTCCCCTCCCAGGCTCCGTGGGGGATGGTCCCAGCACTCCGGTTGAGGCCGGGCAGCTTCCTGACCTTCCGTGAGGAGGACCACATCCTCTGGGGAGAGGGGTGGCTGCCGCAACGCCCTGCCAAGTGAGTAATTAACACAGCCGCTGACCCCATCAAGGGTCTATTCACCGCCCCTGCCTCCAGCCTGCCAGGCCTGACCGCTTCCCACAAGCATCACACACATGCTTCCATTATGAAGCCTCTTCCATTCACCCCTGCTCTCCTCACCTGCCTGGGGTACTTTGCTTTCTGCTGATGGGGTGCGCTCAGCTCCCCTCTCTGCTCTTCTCAGACTTTGTACTTCATTCTGTGCTCAGTGTGGGGGGGGAGGACATGAATTTAACTAGTGCTCTCGGACACGCCCCCGCTAGCTTTCTGAGCGTGCTCCATGCATGAAGATTCTGTGACTCTTGTGAAATTCTTGGGGAGGTGACTACCATTTCTCCCTGTTAGGGATGAGGAAACTGAAGCTCTGAGGGTTCGGGAAGCATGTGACCACTCAGAACACAAGTGGCAGAAGCAAGAAGGGACAGTTGTTCGTCCCAGATCCAGGTTCTACTGTGTCCAGTGGGGTGGGTGGAAGCCCCAGACACAGGGCCCCCCCACACTGTGATCATGGGAAGTGGCAAGGGCATGGAATAGGGAGTCGGGGAGCTGGATTTGAACCCAGCTGCCAGTTGCTAGTGAGAGCGTGGGAGAGTTCTTTAGCTTCTCTAGGCCCCATCGCCCCGGGAGACCAGACTGCCCCCCCGACCCCCCCTCACGCACCCACCGGCCCACAGCTCTTCCACCCTGAGCCCCAGCCATGACCACAACCCAGTGGGGGCTGCCCAAAGCTGAGCTCCCCCCAAACCCCTCAGGAACCCTCTGTCACTCAGAGACACGGGGCAATCTGAGGCTGCCATTGGCTTGAGCTCACTCTCTTCAAGTTACTTCTGAGTTGAGGAGCTTAACGTTTAGAGAAACAACATTTCAACCTCTCTTGCTGAGCATAAACTTTCTTCTCTCCCCAGTCAGCTTCTTTTGCCTTCCAGCCACCACCAGAGACTTAAACCTATCCATGAAACTCAGAATGAGACCCCCACCCTGTCATCCCGAACCATGAGGTACAGTGGTCCCCTGAATAAATCCTCACTATTAAAATGCCCCATGCCCAGCTCCAGGCTCATACTGACCGTCACTGACCACGTGGCCCTGGAGAGTCACGCTGGTGGGCTCAGTGCCGTCACCGGGGAGCGCCCCGGGTAAGCGCTCTGATCTCTGAGGGCCTTCCCTCCCCACCACCCACCCTCGAATGCACCTGCAATTCCACAGGGAGCCTCAACCTACAGGGAGCCCCACCCTTCAGAGCCCTGTTCTCAAAGGACTCCCTCGCCGATTTCTACACAAAGGGGGGCTGTGCTTCAAACTCTAAGCTGGTCTTCTCCACTTTGGTTGACATGAGAATTGCCTGGAGAGTTTTTAAATGTAACTGGGTGGAACTCGGGCGCCCGTGGTGTGTTAGGACCTTCCAGAGACATGAATGTGCATCTGAGCTTGAGAACTACTGCTCCTAGGCCCCGACCAGCCTAGAGAAGAGGAGGCTGTGCCAGCGCCATGCAGGGAGGGAAAGAAGTTGTGACACAGTAACACACAACCACCCTTCACCCAACACACCAGTGGGGCTCTGGGTAAGCTCAGCTGGGTGAGATGATATTCTATAACCGCTTCAGCTCATTTTCTCAATGCCGCTTATGGTATGAAAAACTAACTACGGAAGCACCTGCAGAACTTGTTATACAAGCATATTCCTGAGCCCCTGTCCCCAGAGATTCTGATTCATCAAGTCTGGGACGGGGCCTAGAACTGGCATCTTAAGTGCCCTAGCAACGCAGATGCCATCGAGCTGGGCGCCACTCTGGAGAGGCCCAGCTCTATCAGCACAGCCCACGCGGGGGGCTGCCCCCGTGGGGGGCCCAAGGGCACCCAGCCCAGCTGAGAGCACAAAGGATATTTCCATTCGACAATGCTGATGCACGCCCTCCGGATGGGGTTCTTCAGCGTCAGGCAGAGCAGGGCCCGGGGCGGGCGTGTGGCAGTCGCGCTGCCCTGCTTCTTGGGCTTTCCATACTGCTGCCGCTTGCGCTGCGTGGAGCTGACCGTGGACACGGTCGCGTTGCCACCGCTGCCCATGAGCTTCGCCTGCCGGGCCGCATCGATGGCTGCCTGCCAGGACAGGGCAGCCCCCGGTGTGGGGATGTGCTCGGGGGCAAGCCCCGCAGCCGCGTTGGCATTCATGTTGGCATGAGCTGGGCGCGGGCTCCCATAGTTGGAACCTGCAGGAGAGAACAGGGGACACCAGTCAGCAGGAGAAAGCAGGGGGATTTGGATACACGCTGGATCCTAGAATTGCAGTTTTTTTTAATTATTTTAAACTACTGCGGGATCCTGGCAGGTGGCACGGAAATATCAGTATGTATGTAAACAAGAATAAGGAATCTGTGCAAGTGCTAGTTTGGCATAGTTCACCTCTCTGGTCTCTTTATTTCATTTTAGGTAGACCAGACATGAGAGAGATACATGATAACCTTAGAAACATGGTGCTAGTGGGAAAAGAAGGTGCAGAAAAGACAAACACCAATCCATATATAGGCATTAAAGAAAATCCCTGTTGGCATAGGGTTTAAGTCTCAGAACTATCATGCGATCACCTCTAGAGCCCCGAGTTCGACCCATATGGCACAGGAGACCTCTCCTATCTCGCTGCTGCTCCCCTCAGCAGTGTATTTCAGTATATCTGCCTGTTCTGCTCCCCACTCTGTCTTGGGTGAATCCTCTGACCCCCTACACCTCTGGCCAGCACCCCAGTTCTTGTATGCATAAATAAATAAAAAATATTTTTAATGCATATGTATAAGAACACAAAAGATATTAATCAAATAGAATAGAATGGTTGTCTAAGGAAGCTGGGAGGAAAAGTGAGAGTAGGGTATGGGATAAAAGGTAAGGATGAATGGATGAGACATGGCAAACGTACACAGGAGCAATGAATTAAGAGTATGGTCCACTCAACCTCTGGACCTGAGATAAAAATACAGATAAATTGAGTATAATAAAAGGAGAAGTTGGACCAAACTGAGCAAATATCCAGGTGTGCCCAGACCAAACCCACCTGAGCACTGATTGCTGGTTGGACAGGAGGAGGGAGGGGGTATGATGGTTTTATTCATGCCAGCAAAGCCTCTGATCTTCTCCCATTGAGAAATAAGATCTATGGCCCCCTCCCGCTAAAATATGGTTGACCTTTTGACTATCTGAACCAATAAAGAACAGCAGAATTGACAGTTTGTGACTCCCAAAGCTAAGTTAAAAAGACATACTGCACCACCTGCTTCTCCCAGCTGCTTGCTGTGCCGCCTGGTGAGGCGGCTGATAGGCCCGAGGCCGCCATGCTGAGAGGAAGCCCAACTGGCTGACATGGAGACGCCAGAGAGATTCCCAGCCAGCCACAGCTGCTGGTCACCATCTGACGCAACCTCATGAGAGACCACAACTCAGATGGGCCCAGCCAAGCCTGCCTGAATTCCAAATCACAGAAACTGTGGGCAATAGCAGGTGTTTGCTGCTATGAGTCACTTTGTTTGGGGGTGATGGGCTAGATATCATTTGCTATCTGGGAAAGAGAGTTGTATGTGGCGGGGGTTGAAGAAAGCTGGGAAATAGTGAGATTCAGAAGAGGAGCATCTCCACTGCTCTGGTTTAAAGGCAAATGCAGCCTTCAAGACTATGCCCCAAAGCACTGCGCATACTTGGGGGGCATTCCTTGGGAGGCTGAATGTCTCACCCCAGAACCCCACTGGGGTTGCCAAGTGTGTAACACCCTAGAACAGATATGTGACCTGAGACGTTCGAAAGGTCAGATGCAGCAGGATTAAAAGGAGATACGGAGATTGGGGTGATGCTCTAGATGGGGAGTTGGTTGCCACATCAGTGGCCCAGGAGACTGACTGCAGGGGCCAGACCAGCTCCATTTCTGAGCCAGCCCTCATGACCCTTCTCAGCTCCGTGTACACAGAGTTCTTCCAGGGAAGCTGCTGGCTCCAGAACAAACTATCACCTGGAGCCCCTTCCCTCTCCCGCTGCAAACTCATTAGCATGCAGGTAAACGCTTGGCAACTCAGCTTGGCAACTCACGCAGCTGCGGCTCCTAACTTGTCTCCAGCGGATCCCGCTGCATTTGACTTTCAAGGTAGCTTCTGCTCCCAGTGTGACCTGCTATGCAGAACCAACACCTCCTCCCTAGCCCACGCCCACCACCCCCAGCCAGGGGCCCAGCTCAGAGATGAGAGCGTGATCCAGCTTAGCCAGACAGGCTGTTTCCACCCTGAGGGGCTGTCTCAGGATGCACAGTAACAACCCCAGGGTTTCCTACACCCCAGCCTGCCTGGTAACAACCCAGACCCCAGCTCTCCGGTACTTAAGTCAGCTTCAGCTAATTTGAATTAGGGTTCTGTCCCTCATAGCCAAAATGACAGAACCCCTATGCTGCTGCCACAAAGCCTGTACTGGCTTGACTGCCCCGTCTGCCCAATTCCAAAGTCTACACCCATCACCTACCAGGGACACTCTCATGCCACCAGCTGACATCACTGTCAAAATGCTGCGCCTAAAAGATGCTGAGACTTTTCGGAGTACAACAGGAAAGTGTGTCCTGATAGATTAGTGATGTCTGCCACGGGCACCAGCAACCTCATATTTACCACCCCTGCGCGACACCAGAAGGAGCACGCCAGGTCTTCTCTAGCTCCAGCTGGTCCACTGCCCCCCGTCCCCTGACAGTCGCCTCCTGCACTCTTGCCATCTGGTCCCTGGAGCATTAGAGCCCCCCCACCCCCTCCCTGGACCTAAAATTTGCCTCTCTGCTCCAATCAATCCAAGACGCTATTCCCAGTAGAGCCGCTGACTCGTCTCTCATAGCACCCCTTGACCCTCTTCCTTTCCTCGGGCCCAGCTGCTCCAGGTGCTGCCGCACCCGGGGCCCCAAGCATAAAGCGGACCCTAATCAGTCTTTTCTAAGACCCCGGAGGAAAAAAACTTAGAAGAGAGGTTTTCCAATAGGGAAAGCCCCAGAAGCATCAGAACGGCTTTAACACCCAGCCAGCTCGAGTATCTCCATCTAACACGTAAGACAAAGGAGCAGTGACTCACTAAAGGTCACCAGAAGACAACGGAAGGTTCCAGTCGCGCTGGCTGTTAGGCGCTACTCCTCCTCCGGGGTGCTCACACTCACCCTCCACGCGCACACGTGTGTGCCCACACGCTCGGCCCTCAGCCAGCCACATGCCTCCGCTGGGCTTAGAGACCCTGGGGCGAAGGGGCTGGTTTGTGACCCCAAAGACAGACGCCCTTGGGGTTAACATGGTCTTCAGGGGTGGCTTCCACCCCCCAGCAGCCCCTTTAGTAACTCCTGGGGACCTCTGGGATGAAAAAAGGGGAGCATGTCCCTGTCTCTACGCACTGGCGGGACGGAGTCCAAAGCGGCCTCTTCTCTTGTCCTGCTGTGTTCGCCAGAGCAGGCCGGGGCTCTCTTTCTGTCCCCAAATCAGCGGCACAGCCTCCCCACCTGAGGCCCCTGCCGTCACAGACCTCACCTGAAGGCTGCTGAGCTTCAGGACTCTCTTCCCTCTTCCCTGCACAAATGCAGCTTGTCCCCCCACACCACTGCCATTACCCCAGACCCCGATTCTCTGCTCACACAAGCCCTCGGCACTGCAGCCCTCCCAGGAGATGATCATCTCCGACCTCCCATCTTCCTCCCTACCCCCCCACTACCCCCCAAGCCAAGCAATCCTGGGGGTTTCTGGACAGTCCCTGAGAAGAAGGCGGGAAGCACAGGGGTGAGAATGCGCGCATCTCCCCGGGGAGGCAGTGTGGGCACGGCCGGGCACCCTGAGGCATGAAGCCCGAGGCGTCCGTGAGCAAGACGGCTGAGCCCCACAGAACCACATCTTGCTGACTTCTGAGCATCCCGCACCATGGGTGACCTTATTTATAGGGTGAACTATTCCCAGAGCACAGGGACCTCTCTGGAGCACAGCATCTGGAAAAAACACACACACAAAGAAGCCCATGGGGAAAAATGGAATGTCAGCCTCTCCCCAGCCAAAGGCCAAGAAAACAACCTTCAAATCTGGGCCCTGACAGCATGTGGGGCCTTGCAACGGCCCTGAGACATGACCCAGGCACAGCCGCAGTGAGCACAGGGCCGCGCAGGTGAGGCCCAGCTGGCCCCTCAGGGCCAGCCAGATCTCAAGGCTGGCTTCACTCCTCTTCTCCAAACAACCCCTGCTGGGGTGATCCCACCCAGACCGCAGCTCTCTAGGTACCTCCAAATACCCCCAATAAGGGGGCTGACTATCCAGGAATCCCAGGGAGGGAAAACTTCCACCTCAGACTCAACACTTTTGAATCCAGAACAGTGCCATGGAGGATGGGCAAGCAGCATTGTGTCCCGGATGGCTTTTGTTAGCATAAAATAACCACCCAACGCAGAGAGACCAATTTTCAAATTATAAAGCTGATTCAAAGCTCTGTCTCCTGGCTGCCAGCTGAAAAGATGCCACTGTTTAAGTCTGCTTTGGCTCCTGCCTTACTACTTATTTCTCTGATGCTCTCGTCTCTGAACTGGCCCAAAGCAGCGCTTCACAGTTCAGGCCACACACAAACAGGTGGAGGGCCAGGCATCGATTGCTTCCATGTGCGTAAGAAAACGGCTTCCATTTGTCAAATGGCCCAGTGCTCCCCAAAAACATCAGTAGCCCCCTCCTCCTGCACCCAGGAGCTGCTGCCTCTTGAGAATGCCCAGGATGAGGGCAAGACCACAGCATGAACTGGTCATGTCATTCTACTCTGTGAGGGTCCAAGTGAGAAGTGCAAGTCGAGGGGTCCCGTGCGTAAGGCCTGAAGCTGGGGGCCTGGAAGCTGTTCGGTGATGGTAAAGATGACTTTCCTTCTTTAATCCATCTCCAACCATGCACCTGATTCAGGACCCCATCCCAGGAGATTCTCAACCTCTGTTTACTACTGATTGTAACAGATGGCATCCTGACTGACAGTGACATCATGACAAACACTCAGGTGGACAGCAGATAAACATCACAAACACTGGCGGTCAGTCCACCTGTGTACGACGTGGTACTAGGGGAGAATGTCTGAGCAGAGTGCTTGTGGGCAGTGACCTCCAACTCCCACGCCACTACCCTACAACAGGCCACCACCCTTTTCTTGCCCAGAATGTGGCAGGAGCACCCAGACATTTCTTCATGTCTCTTGGCAC